GGTGTTATCATAATAGATAATACATTAATATCTATGCACTTCCGTTGCTTTTACCTAAGGAAATTTCGTTTTGACTAGAATGCTTAACATAAACAAACCGGAGTGTCAAACCTTTCTCTCTTATAATGTATAGTAGGGTATCTTTTTAAAAAGATATTTAGAATAAATCCTGGTATATGTTTAAATATGATAAATTACTAATTAATAATAGTATTTAAAATGCGGTTTTGAATATCGTGAAAAACTACACTGCAGAACATAGTTATATTATTTTGTAAAAAAGAATGATTTAATCTGTACTAATGAAAGGGTGGGGATGGGGGGGGGGGGGGGGGGGGGGGGGGGGGGGGGGAAGAAACTGAATTAGTGATTTCATTGTAATTTAATCACGAAACTGAACTAGTGATTTCATTGTAAATTTAATCACGATATATTGTCAAATAAAATTACACAAAGCTGCTTTGATATAAATGGTGTTATCAAACATCTGGGTCCTTAAAAGCATTGAAATATACTTGCAACTTTTAGTTTGTAACAAGCATCTTCAAATGACTCTAAATTAACTGCGATATTATTGAGGTATTCTTTTCTATATATTAACTCACTTGCATCTGTCAGTCCATTTTTTCCGTTCTTTTGTATCTGTTGGAAATTGGAATGAGCTACACGTCTGTTTTCCGCCTGTACGGTGCGTGCAACCGATTGCAAAACAATACACCATGTTGTTACTACGAACGCCGATGTACCCAGAAGCCATTAAACAAAAGTGAAAGCAAACGAGACTTACAGGCCCTGTTGTTAAGGACCTTTTTTACAGCTTAACTGACTTGTAGAAAGGAACTTTTGCAGGCTACAGGTACATCACCTGAATTGTATTGTGAAAGGGTACTGCATATAAGATTTACAAAACATGTATTAACTGGAACAGGTAATTTACCAGACTGTAGAAGTAGCAAATATTTCAAAATAGCAAACAGACACTTCATCTGTTTGTGGAAGAGGACTTGGAATAGGCGCTAATAATTGTGTTTTTAGCAGGTCCTTCTGTAAGTTTTGTTTCTTTTTCAGACTGGACAGATCTGTCGGAACTGTACTCTCTACCCACCAGCATATCCTCTTCTATGTGTCTGCTCACAGGAGAATCCATATTTTCACTTCTTCATGTCGCACGACTTTTGTCTTAGAATACAAGAACTAAAGTTACTTTGTAAACAAAATAACTTGTACATGTACATAAAACATCAAGATAATGCAAATAAACAGTATTATATAGCAGATAAAAAACATTATAAATTACTAATACAGGTACACGTGTTGCGTTGTAAACTTTTCTGGAGGTATAGATTTCAATAGATCCGTAAATTTCACAGATCCCGCCGTGGATGCCAAAATTGTAATGTGCGCATGCGCTAACTGGACTGTCTTCTCAAACTCAAAAATTCAATAAAGTTTATTGCGTGGACCCTGAGGTCCACGCAGTAAATATATAAGCGAGGTTAAACCGGATGCCCTGGGCAAAAGTCAGGATACGCATGCGCGAGAACGCTGGAGAGTTTGCTCCTAAGACAACTTGCTCCTAGAATAATTCGCCCTAGTCGAATTAGAATATGCTATTTCATTTGCAAATTTTGATTTGAAATTTGCATAATTTATCGTATTTATGTATTTATTGGTGCATCCGAATTTCTTTCATGCATGTATACCTTTATATACAAACTAAACATTGATTCTATGGCATTAGCATTTTAAAAAGTAGGAAGAGCGTGCAGTATATACTATTAAAAAACTTAAAAGCTTGAATTGAAAACTTCATACAACGACTAGTTCTAGCTTTAAAATCGGCATTAGTTCTGTGCATCAAGACTTGCAAAATAATTTGATACACATTAATCCACAATAATAGCTTGATAGATGCCTGTAGAAACGGTTTTCCGTGTGGGGAAGGGGGGGGGGGGTCGAAAATTTAAAAATCTGCGTAACTACAGATCTATATGCTACAGGTGTGCCATCAGATCTATTTTCTAATGATAGATTTCTTCCGTATAAATCCAGAACAGATATCAAGTCTAAGCCGATATGGGTTACATGTATCAAAATAGCCCAACTTTGTTTAAATAAGAAAACTATAGGCTAATCTGAGATAAAAATTAATAATTTTGCTATGAATGTACTATCTGTCAAAGTAGGCAGGTCATTGTTGAAATGTAAACGAACCCACATGAATATTCACTAAACCTAGAAATGTTCTCAGATTGAATTTCGGTTCGAAACACATGCAAATGGTCCACGTATTGCAGTCCTTTTTTAAAGGACAGCAACTTGTAATTTTATCTTATTGGACACATGAACAAAACAATACTGTTCAACATTCACAAAATACATGGTGTTTCTAAAACCAATAAAACCTCTACACCCGGAATCTAATCCAGTAATAAATAATTCACTCTTTCGGACCAAATGAAAAAAACTGGTAATTATGAGTATATTTCTAAACTGGTATTTCACCAGTAAACTTAAAAATTTACATAATCTGAATAAGTTTCCCAATAAACACTTAATATCATCAAACAATTAACGAAAGAACTAAAGAAAAAAGACACACCTCCGGGCTCGATACATTATGTTGTCTACTGTTCAATCGCAGCTACTCCCTGGTTCTTGTTGTAGATGCGTCGTTTAATACTACGAAATGACGTAAAATGCAATAACCAGACCAGAAACATCGCCCACCTGATCATGGTGAAGGCTACCTTGCTCTCCTCCCTGACATCACCTGAGGTAGGAAGGGAACAGAAGAAGATCCCTTCAAAGCTGCATATAAGGAATGCAATCGGGAATGTTTCTTAAAGTTATTGTAGTTGAAGTGACTATATCTACAGACTGGGCACATATGTCCATTCATCAAAGGTAAGGTGGTTTGAGAGCACCTGTCACAAAACACAATGACGCTCTCCTCTGGAACTACATAAATAGCACTTCAAAACTCTCCCTCCCTTCCCAGCTGAACACATGTCTGTCATCTTGAAAATCTGTAAGAATTAACCGCACAATATAAATACAGTAATACTGGTTGGCATCGAAAATGTAAACTTTCTTGTGTAACCGTTCCGAAACATGTAACATCGTACATGTACAATAAAATATTTAAAATATCCATCCTTCCACGCATCCCCTTTTTGAATATTCTTAACAATGGTCATGATTTGTTAATAAACACACAATGACATATCCATGTATATGCTGAAAAGAAAACAAATCCTTTACTATATACCCCCCACTTGAAAAGTGGGAGGGTATATAGTACTCGGTATTTCCGTCCGTCCGTCTGTTTGTACGTCCGTCCGTCCGTCTGTTACGCTTTGGGGTATCCATCTCTTATCCGCAACTCCTCTTATACTACTGAGTGAAATTTAACGAAACTTTCACAGAATCGTTATTACACATTGCCATTGTGCACCTCCTACTTTACTTTTTTAATAGACACGTATTTTAGGTTTTCCATAGCAAAACATGGACGCTGTATGCTTACCTGTGACGTCACATATAGAATTTGATAGGACGGGTTATTCCTCTTTACACATTACCGTAAAACAGTATATAGCAGAACATGGACATTATGGGAGGCGGGGGTATCATTTAGTGAGCTCTTTGCTAACAGTACCTCTAGTTTTTTTTAACTAATATAGCCTTCATTATACATGTAACAAAAACTGGACAGTAAATATGTATTATACTGACTAATTAAATTTCTCTGACAGCCTCTGTGCCCACTTTGGTGGTGTACTTCCAATGTATGGCAGCTTGTCATGATTCCCAATTTTAAACTCGCCAAGGGCATCAAATTGGTTGACTGTATGTTGTTTAACGGCCCAATCGAGAATTTTTGATTCATATGGAAACGCCACCACTTCCTTGTAGATAGATGCAAATTTTGTCCTATACTCGGCGCAATTGAGCAGGGAGGGATCATTTTCTTGCCAGCATCTACTGCGACACGGGACATCGGTTTATACGGTCTCATCCGAAAGACCGGACTCTACGTCCCTCAGTGGGATTTGAACCCGCGATGTAAAGAACAACTCCTCTAGATACAACTCTCCAACCACTGCGCCACGCGGGCGACTCATCTTGATTGCAAAAGCTTATCTTAATTTTGAACACTATCCATCTTTTATTTTTGCTTTGGTGCTGTCGGTCGGTCACCGTTAGTTTCTGTTCATTTTCTTTGCAGAGGTTGCACATATTGAAATGAAATTTGGTATGCAGAATAAGAATCGTAAGAAAAGTAGGTTAAATTAAGTTCAGTTTTTGGTACGATCTGGCCATTTTGGACAAAGGAATGCCCCTTGGACTTAAAATAATTCGAAATAAGAACTATATGCGGTATATTGCATATGTTTGCCCCCACAAAAGTCAAATTTTGAAAACTTCCTGAAATATGCTGAATTCAATAAATTGTACGAGAAATATAAGTTAACAGAAAATATTATAGTTCCAGAGCAGTGTATTCACAATTTCTGTTTTTATGACGTCACAAACTAGTCCGATTTTATATCCTTTTTCAGAAAGAGGACAAAATGGACAAAATTTCAACAATCTGATTAAAATCAGATCCTTTGATCCGCTCCCGTAGATCGCTACACAAAAGGATCTGAAGTAACTCCATGGAGGGTCACGTCCGAACGACCTTTATATTACGAATATTTATGAGAAATATTAGCCAATCAGAATATTCTGCACAAAACATGTCGGCTAATCAGCCGGTACCGCGTCAATTTGATACCCCTTTGCTTTCGCCCACAAAGTACTTACCACGCCGTGATTGTATTATTGAGTGTATTTGTTATCATTTATCGTAATATTTTTATGAATGGTTATTTTCTTTGATAATCGTGAATAAAAAGGAATAAAAAGCATATAAAAGACACAAAACATATACATAAATTCTATGTTTTTCAAACGATTTGATTTGGTAACGATTTGAATAGATGCAAAGAATAATGGCTGACCTCAAAGTTGCCGTGAAAAACTGTTTGAAGTATTTTAATGTAGTCACGATTAAACCAGAACAACAGAGAATATTAGATGCTATCCTCACATACAAGGACTGCATGGCAGTTCTTCCTACGGGGTTTGGAAAGTCGCTTCCGTACCAGTTACTTATTCCAGTCAAAAAAGAATTGGGACAAAACGACGGAAAGAAAGTAATCATTTGCTCGCCTCTGATAGCCTTGATGAAAGATCAATGTGAACGTTTGAGTCAAATTTCCGGCGTAAGAGCGGTTTATTTAGGTGAGAGTTAATATATTATTGCCAAATTTCTATTCCATGTAAATTGTCACATTTGTGTAGTGAGTGTACTCGAAATCAAATATTAAAATTTTTGATCAATAATATGAATTATAATAATATTAAACAAACAAACCGTTATTGTGTCTAGCTTAAATATACCATAACAAATGAATATACATGAAACAAGCGCCTGTGGTAAAAATGTGTAAATTAATGCATATTTTTATCTGTACTGGTAATGGAACTGGTATATTTTTTATTTTAGCAAGTTGTCTCGATATAATGCCAGTTGTTATAATTGTGTCCATAAAACATTTGCATTTGCATCATGTATTTATTAAGTTTGGGCATTGCTTAAAGCCAATGTGTACATTTTTTACAGGAGGTGGTTGTAGGGATCCGGCTGTTGAACGGGGCGAATTTGACTACCTTTTCGCTGCCCCAGAGATGCTAGTTGGAGATCAGCACTGGAGATCAGTTTGTCAAAAGTTTCAAGTTTCCACTATAGTTATCGATGAATTTCACACTATAGCTACATGGTAAGCATACATAATTTCCATCTTTCATATATTGATATATTCTTCTTCAATACATACATATTGTATTTAATCAGAGTAAAAATAATTTTTAAAAGAACTGGAACAGCAGATAATTAATTTCTTGATTTCTGGAATAAATGCAGTTTTGTTAAGGTTTATAAAAAGCAAGAAACAAACTTTATCCTACCCTTATACATGAACATGTACAAGGTGAATGCTATGTAACAGTATGTTTTCAATTTTAGGGGAGAAGATGAAGGAGGAAAAAAAGCTTTTAGGAAATGGTTTTCCTACATAGGGGAAATGCGTTCCTTGTACCCTGAGGCAAGTGTCCTTGCTCTAAGCGCCACATGTACTCAGAAAATCAGTTCACGTGTAAAGAAAATCCTGAATTTTTCTACGAACATAATCGAAATATGTGTTTCTCCAAACAAAGAAAACATAAAAATTGTGGTTCAAAAGATACCAAATTCTATTGAAATGGCATTAGGCTGGATAATAGAAGGTTTGCATGATGGAACATTTCCAAGAACTTTGATTTACTGCATGTCAATTAAAGATTCCTCTAACATTTACATGTACATTAAAAATGAACTACCTGAATGCACCTGCATTGATATGTTTCACTCAGAAACTGATGATAAAAAAAAATCAAAGATAATGGAAGCGCTTAAAGATCCATCTAGTGAATTAAAAATTGTGGTGGCTACGAGTGCCTTGGGCATGGGAGTTGACCTTGTAGGATTTTACAATGTCATTTTGTATGGATGCCCCAAATCTATTGTAGACCTTGTTCAAGAAATAGGCCGTGTCGGGCGTGATGGACAGTGTTCAACAGCATTACTCTTACATAATTCTTATCACATGATTGGTGTTGAGAAAGAAGTGAAAGAAGTCTATAAAGCTGGTAAAAGTACCAGTAACACAACCAATACAATAAACTACTCCTGTAGACGTGTTGCAATGCTGGCACCATTTCATAAAGCAACAGAATTGTCGCAGCTAAAAGAAGTGGAACCAGTTCATTCCTGTTGTGATTTGTGTTACAGCATATGTCAATGTGTATCATGTTCTCAAACACGCATTGAAAAATTGTTTCACTTTACTTTAGATGACTTGTCTGCGGAGGAGGAAGAGGAGGAGACTGACGAATACACTGAATCATATGAGAGTTCTGACAATGAAGACATTGATAATTTGCTTTTAGACATTAACCTGGATTGATTTGTCTCAATGCAATAAAAACTGTTGTTTGCCAATTAAGAAGTGAGTCAGCACATCTTCAAATAATGGCAAAATGTTTGTTTTACCTGTTAATTAAAAAGTTTGGATTTGTCTCGTATAATTGACTGTTTGTTGCAAAAAATTCAAATCCATTCACATAAAATTTTATTGTTTTGTGTTGTTTTTAAAGTGTATTGGTACTCATTATTGATGTTCTGAGCATCAAACATTGACAAAATATGTAACAACTTTAATAAAAAAAAAATTCCAACATTTACATCTTTTTATTTCCAAGTCTGTGATATGCATACAAAGGTTTATGTTTGAAAATCAGTGTTCCTAAATGCTGGAAGCATTTGTCAAACAAGTCTTTCCCTGTAGAGGTCAAGGATTTACATTTTAATTTTCTACCATTTACATGTTTAATAGCTTTCATTTCTGCAAGTTCAACGGCAATTTTCTTCACATCTTCCAAATAAGAGGGCAGATGATGAAACCCTTTTCGTTGTGTCACGTCACAAATTGAGTCATGATGTTTCACAAAGTTCACAACCATTGGGAACTCCTTAGAGTGGTACAAAATACTGTCTTTGGTCTGGAAACCTGAGCAGGCAATTTTACTGTCGCGGTTTAAGAGTTCTACATACTCATCTAACGCCATATTATTGTTGACTCCTCCATGTAAATTTATGAACCTATTTGCTGTCAGTCGCACTCGTTGGTCAGCTGATAGAATGCCCTCTGTTAATGCAATCAAATGGATTGAACCGATAGCATATTTGGTTTTGTTAGTTAAATTGTACACAGGTAGTTCATATTTAGCAGATCGAACACTCCTGTTTCCATCAGCCATATCCACAGCACTATCCAAGTTTTTGTGCAACAAAGTTAATTTGAACAACACATTGCAATAGCTTTCAACATCATCACTTTCACTTCCTCTCGATGTTTTTGGTTTGACCACTGGTGGGACATTCGCATTATGTTTGGTTTCTTCATGTACTTTTAGTGAACCTACATAGGCATATGATCGTTCACAAAAGTGGCATTGTACACGACCATCATTTACATTGGAAATCCAATAGTTTTCTGGATGATTAGGATCATTGAGAATTTCTCTTAATGTTTCCATCAAATCATCACATTCATTGAAGAAGTGTTTTCTCAGTATATTCTCACAAATTTCATTTATCCAAGCGATTTTTTCATCATCCGATTTGTCACAGAAATTTTCATGGAGGGGTATTACGTCATCAAAGTTGACAACGTCAAATTCATCCAGAAACATCACGCAACAAAGAGCATCCAGAACAGTATAATATAAGTATTTATGCGCCCTGTATGAATCACGCACTTTGCCTTTAACATTTCTAGCATTCAACTAGTTTCTAAAGTAGAACATTGTGCCTGGGTCACTTGCAGAATCTGTGCTGTAGGTCAACTTTGCGATGGCCTAAAATAAAAAAATTATCATTAATTAACAGTTACTTATTACCGGTAATCTTTATGCGTTTATATAAAGCATACTTTTTTTGGATGTTTTGTTTTTAATTTTTACTTTGGGATATTTTTCCCCCCCAAAAAAATACCTCTAAAAAATTCATCAGCCTATGAAAGTCCTCAATCTTAGAAATAAAGCCTTCAAGCCTTCCTGCTGGGGATTCTGCATTCAGCATCGCTTGTTGGGCTGATTGAATTCTTTCATCCGTCAGTCTATCACCTGTAAATTGCAAGTATAGCAGTACAGAGTATTAAAAAATCATAACTATGTCCATGATGTCACAAACTTAACAGGTTGGGTTTCCCCTGTTGTAAAACATTTGAAAATAAAGTTTTACTCGGATTTGTGTATTTGTTTAATTTCTATATATTTTCTGACCACTGAGCTGAGATATATTTTTGGATAATGGATATATTTATGCTTACCACCAAAAAAAACTGGTTCGTGAATTTCATCATTCTTGAATGGAACATACTTGTGTTGAAATTCTCCTAACATCTTAATCACTTCTGCAGTTTTATTCTCATTGCAGTCTGTAAGGCCCAGAGGATACTGTGTAACAAATAAATCTTTAGTAAGAAAAGTCAGTGCATTAAATACTTTCTTTAAGATCTAGCGGGTAGGTGTGTAACACATTCATGAACTGTATTTTTTTTTCCTTGATAAAATTTTCAAACATTAAACATTTGATGAATGAAATAATTAAAATTTGATCATAAATGACTTGAGTACAATAAAATCTTTGCTAACCTGTTTTGTTTTTTCTCCAGCTTGGTCACTAAATTCATGATGAAGATGCTTTGGGTAAATTTTTCCAAATATATCTCTCATCTGTGGTACATTGCTGATTACAGATGATGCAACAATGAACACTAATTCATCCATGAGCAACTTTTGCTCCTCAACAGATGGTACAAAGCGATTGGCATCAATATCACTGTTTGCATCCATATTTGGCACATCATAAGGCACTGGCACAACCCTATCCACTACTGCAATGGTGTTGAACAAATGTAGTGACGTTGTTGTCTGCTGGGATGTTCTGCGAAAAATTGTGATTGAAATATATTTAGGGAAAATGAAAAGTGTTTACAAAACAATAGAATACAGCACCGTGGCATCATCCAATATAGTTCAATTGAAAATGTTTTTATGCATTCATGCAGAATATAACTTGTGAGGAACAATCACACGTAGTCATTTTATTTTGGTACTTGTAACCAATATGAAACTTATAAAAATCTAATACACATGTATTCTTTATTTACCTGAATGATGGAAGTATATTTTTGTCCCAGTTATCACCAACCAACTGGTATTTGATGCGCCCACCATTTTCCCAATCTGTACGTAACTTTATCACTGCTTCGTCTAAGCTATCTTTCCATGACGACAGCTTCTTATGGACAGAACTTGAAGAAACACACAGTCCAATTTTGGCAAGTCTATCGATATCCTGTGAATACAAACATACTATAGCTTTAGGAAACAGTTGGCAGAGGTAAAAAAATTAAAATGAACTGTAGAAATTTCAAGTCAAGAGAAATATATTATTACTTATTAGGTTTATTACTGACTGTCTACAGAAATTTGTCGGGTCGATTAAACCTAGTAAGTGTTTTGTTTTGTCGAGGACCTAAAATTGTGGAGCATTTGTGTAAACAATCAGTTCAAATGACGTTGCGTCCGCCATGTTGCCGTCCGCCATGTTGCCGTCCAAAATTTTACGCTGCTGTCCACAGAAATTTGTACTGCAATCACGTGAAGCATTATATCCAATGACGTTGCGACATTTTAGTCCGAGGCAAAACAAATATATATATATATATATATATATATATATATATATATATATATATATATATATATATATATACATTTTCTGTTACAATATCATACATATATAGTATATGATATATTTGCAAAATTACAGTTCATTTTAACATGTTTAATAGAAAGATGTACAAGTATAAACTGTTAACACTGTTTAAATTAAATAGATGTTAAATTTAACAAATAATCAAAGCATACAAATTTAATACCCTAAGCGTACATCCTCCATGAACAAGGACAAAAGCTATGCTGTAGTGAAGTCCTGACATTTCCATACTACGCCCATGGAGACCTGATGCAACAGTGTGAAGGATGTTCATGTATTTCTTCTCTCCAATTACTGTAGGAATATCACTCACAATTGAACTTACAACTCTTAATAAATTTGGGGCTCGGATTTCCAGTTCTTTATAAAATTTGTCCCATGCGAAGGACATAAGACTCTCCTGATCTTTCATTTGTAAGAGAGAATTTGAGTTCTGTTTACATAGTTCTCTGGATTCTTCCGATACAACTTTTGCTGCAGCATTTACAACTACTCTGGGATTTTCCTTTACCAATAAACAGAGGACTGTCTGTTCCACATTTTCTGACCTGCAAATGGCCTTGCACATTGACTGGTGAAGCTCATTTCTCACAAGATGAGTCCTCTTTCCACTTGGATATGAAAGAGTGATCTGATATAAAGATAAATCATAATATTAATAAATATCAATTACTGGCATTTAATGGAATGCTATTGGTATTTATTTTTCAATTATTATTTATTTCCTTCATTGAGATGCAATATAAATATAAAGTACTACATACTTCAGTAATTTCTGCACAAATTTGAATTACAACTTTTTACATTAGCATTTAAAAAATCTATTAAAAGAAATAGCAAAAAGAACATGTATTTTCAATATCTCATATTCCATATATAATCCATAACTCAATATTTACCTTTTAAAACAATATGCAGTTAAATGATCAAAGTTTTAAATCTATTTACCCAAGTTTTCTTTCATGTTTGAATGGTCATTTATCACATTTATCAACTGCTAGACTTCTTGTCAGCAGTAAAATGAAACTGTAAAAAAAAACTGTAAGAAGAAAAAAAGGAAAATAAGAAAAGAGAATCAAAACATCAATTTGTGATCTCAGGGTTTGTCACTAAATGTATAAACTACATGGGACTATCTTGGGATAGTTTACTTGCCAAATGCACACATATTTTTAATAATGAAAGTAACATAAAAAATACTGATAAATTAATAAAATTTCAGGGGGAGGGGGGCAAATTTGTTCTTATTTTCAAATAAAAATGTCAGTGAGAAACCCTGATTTATTAATAATTTAAAAAAGAAAAACATAAAAAAAAAAAAAAAACTACCAAAGCAAAAGGTCAATGAGTCCATTATTTTCACTGTGTTATGCTGATATACATGCAGGTAATAAAGCTATGTTGGTAGCTTTAATTTTATGTATCCTATTAAAATTAGGGTGTGGCCAACACTGCTAAAACAAAGGTTTGTTTATAAAATTAAATTGATTTTTGCACATTCCTAATCCATTGGTAGAAGTTACAAATGATAAATTCAGTATATTTTATTTCATTAATTCAATTGGCATTTGAAATAGGTTGATCTATTAATGAACTCGTGACCTAAAGCAATGTAATGAATGGTTTAATTTGGTTAATGATTGATTGATCATTATTTGGATATAATTCAACAAACACACTTACCTCTACTTCTCCACTAAGGACAGCTGGGGTACTTGTGCTAGGTAATGCTAATGACCTTCTAACCGGTTTTTTGATAACTGGATTGGCAACTGGCTGCATACATGTATTGCTTATGTCAGAAAATGGCAATATTTTTACAGGTTCTACATAATTTATAGGTACAAGAAGACCAACATTTCTCTTTGCTGGGTCTTGCGAAACACCAGGGCTTCTGAGCATTCGTTTGGAAACGACTGTTCGCGATTGCATTAGTACAGTTTCTTGAATTTTTCTCACTGATTGTATAAGTCTACCTTTCAGATCGGTTGCTTCTTTTTCTAATTTATAAAGTTTTTCAACTGATCGGTAACATTTCTGGCAAATGCCTGTATCGGGGTTGACAGCATGTATGTCGAAGGATAGCACATTTTTAATGAACTCCTTTCTTTCTTTGGTTAGTTTCAACTTCTTATCGAAAAACTTTGTAGTAACATTTTTTCCATTGGTGTCTATATACGTCTGTACAAAGGAAAAACCACACAGAACGCATATATTATCCAAACTACACGTTTTAACAGGTGTCCGAGCTGCATTCATGGGCGCAGCCATTTTGTTTTTCGCAATGTATTGTGGGATATAAAACACACCCGACGAGCTATGTCAGACGCTATTTGATTGGCTAGTTAAAAGGTCGTTCGGACGTGACCCTCTATGGAGTTACTTCAGATCCTTTTGTGTAGCGATCTACGGGAGCGGATCAAAGGATCTGATTTTAATCAGATTGAAATTTCAACAATTTAAGCTTTAGAATTTATAGAGCGCATGTGTGTTCAGGAACAATATTGACATATTTCATTGATATTATCATTCTACACATTATATCAAAATATTAATCCTGAACACACATGCGCTCGGTGACTTTTATTTAAAATATCGACGAAATATGTACATTTTTCTGCAAAATTCATAAAAAACTGAAATTTACGTCATATTTGTGACGTCATTACGTACATATGACGTCATTACTTATGAAATTATTCAATGCTTTGAAGTCAGCATATACTCCCCTGTTAAGGACTTAATTAAATATTACTCCATCAAAGTTTGATTTTGGGGGGCAAATGTTGGTTAATACCGCATATAGTTCTTTCCGTTCATTTTCTTATAGAGGTCGCACATATTGAAATGAAATGTGATATGCAGATTTATCATTAATATTCAGAATATGTAGATCAACTCCAGTTTATGTTTCGGTCAAGTTATGTCCCTCGGACTTCGAACAATGTGCAATAGTGGTTTTCCGTTCATATCAGTGGAATTTTTTGTCATCTGAGTAATTGTCATCCTTGAGTTAAAAATAAGGTAAAAAAGAAAATGAAATGTACTGCAACACTAATTCATATTTTATGCGATCGGATCGATAGATCGGGAGCGCATCTTGTTTTGTCCAAACTGTATGTTTGTCTGTCGTCAAATTTAACCTTCGCCATAATTTTTTTAGCATGAGACAGTGAGAGAGACTTTATATTTAATATGCATACTTTACTAATTAAGCTCTTTCAAATGACACCAAGGTCAATGACCTTGTGACCTTGACCAACATGTATAAGCCTTAAAAGCTCTTTTGAACTTTCGCCATAACTTTTGAACCATAAGAGATGGAGCCTTCATTTTTGGTACGCTTACTCCATTGATGAAGTTCTTGCAAATGACACCATGGTCAACGACATTGTGACCTTGACTGTGATCTATATGCAAAAATAGCTTTTTCGAACTTTTTCTTTGGTCACCGCGAATGTAGTGTTTCACAAAAACATCTTTAATCATTTTTCTTAGGGGAGGGGGTCCAATTTTAACAGAATGCGTAAAATTTACGGGGTTGGTTCATAACATGCAAACGTAATTTGGCAGATTCCCTTTTTACGTATTAGAAACATCTCACGTATGCTTTTAAGTTTCAGTAATTATCTACCTAGGTATATCTCACAGGTAGTTGATAGACTGTCTCAAGGTACGCACAATAATATGACAATATACAAATTGAAAGGTAGAACAGACCGTAGCGTGTGTAATGAAGCTTCTCGACTTGAAGTTTATTTTGCAGAATTGAGTATTGTCAAGTCGTACACCAAGATTCTTGGTCTTGGTTTGAAGGTTGTAAAACGCGATTATTAAAGAAATATTTGACCAATTAATTTAAAAATGAATAGGGTTCGTCCTTTCACAATGTCACGTAAGTATGTTGAAGCTGAGAATTGATAGTCCAAAGATTCTCTTCAAACGTTGCCTACAATCTGCCACGGACACGCACTTACATGTGTAGCTATGCTATTTTCCCTCCGCAACTAATTACGTGAGGATATAATTAACGCAAAGCTCTGTGCAGTAAAATACCAAAAGCTCTGAGAAAAATATTATGCATTAAAATTTTGTCGGATTTGGTTATTGACAAAATGATGCCTGTGGTACAAATTAATCTTAACCGCAGTCGAATCACCAAACATATGAACTATTTTCAAAGTAACAACAAAATTCGATCCATCAATAATTTTATTTCATCTACAAACGTCAATTAATATGCCAAGTACAATTCTTAAACACACATTTTTTCTAAATTAGATGTTTTGCCGAGAGCCTAATTTGGCCCGGTTTTTGAATATATCTAAACATGTACTTAGAACATTGGAGAAACTTTGTGATTTTTTAAAAAGGCATATGTGCAATTAATGTCGGAAAAGGACACAGGTACACGTAGATCCGAAGAAAATATTACATCTGCAGTTTTTGAATTTTTTTTTTATTTTCATAGTAAACCAAATGTTGATAATATTGGTAAACTCTCCTGGTGTGTACTTATAAAAAAGATGTCCAGGTAAAATCTACTTCCGTAAGAAGACTAAACATTCCAAAACTCCAGGGGGTAATAGCATTAAATAAAAAGTCAAAATCAGAATTTTTACATTTTGTTAACATTAACAAACGCCGTCGAGCCCAAAACAAACCAAAAAAAAAAAAAACAAAAACAAAAACAAAACAAAACAACAACAAAGTTGCAACCATAGCGCAGTGGATAGAGCGTTTGCTTTGCGGTTTAAGCAGTTCCCATCAATAAAAAAACTATAATTAACGATGCTGAGTCTAATTATTTCTGCCTAAGGGATTTTGATAATTTTTTGAAAATTAATTTTTACTGTTATATTTATTGTTTTAAAATTAAAAAAATCGATTGTTCTCCATCCCGATTTCTTAGGGGGCCACCTCAAAAGTTGTCAAATTTTACTATTGGACCCTATAAGAATTAGTTGGAAAAGCGCCAAATTATCACATTTTACCATATTTTTTGTATTTCTGCCCTAGACATTTCTTTTTCATTCAAGTCCATGAAAGTTATTGTTAAAAGTTAACAAATTGTAAATTTCTAAAAAGTTCACCATCTAGGTTGGTCTAGGAATTAATTACCAAGTTTATTTTTTTTCAAAGTCAGTACCTCTACAATTGCCATATTACCGTATAAATACATATCAGTGCAGATGAATTATTGGCGCATATGATTTTTTCGGTAAAAAAATTAGCAATGTTTAGATTGCTAGAATGTTTCTTAAGATGTTGTCATCAGTTTTTAGTATAATATTCATGGACGTTTTGAACATACAAGCGAATCATGCGTCATTCTCATTCTTCAGCGTCATGCATTGCTTAGAAAATCCAACCAGAAGTCTCTGTCGAGACTGTAGCTCTACTGGTTTGTACTTATAACAAAGGATGAGAAAAGAAGCCATTGCCATTAGACCAAAACTGTAGAAGGAGTAGCGTTTTAAAGGAATTTCACAGACATTTCTATATTTAGTAACAATGGCAACACTGTTCAACGAAATAAAAAACGGATGCATTATTTTATGTATCTTAATGTAGTCTACTGGTGTGCCAAGTTATATTGAAATTAGACCAAAACTGTAGGAGGAGTAGCGTTTTAAAGGAATTTCACAGAAATTCTATTTTTAGTAACCATGGCAACACCGTTCATCGAAATCAAAAACCGATGCACTATTTTATGTATCTAAGTGTAGTCTGTGTGCCAAGTAATACTGAAATCAGACCAAAACTGTAGAAGAAGTAGCGTTTTAAAGTAATTTCACAGAAAATTCTATTTTTAGTAACCATGGCAACACCGTTCTTCGAAATCTAAATCCGGTGCATAACTTCATATATCTTAGTGCAGTCTACTTGTGTGCCAAGTAATACTGAAATCAGACCAAAACTGTAGGAGGAGTAGCATTTAAATGGAATTTCACAGAAAATTCTATTTTTAGTAACCATGCCAACACCGCTCATCGAAATAAAAAACCGAAGCACTATCTTATGTATCTTAGTGTAGTCTACTTGTGTGCCAAGTAATACTGAAATCAGACCAAAACTGTAGAAGAAGTAGCGTTTTAAAGTAATTTCACAGACATTTCTATATTTAGTAACAATGGCAACACTGTTCAACGAAATCAAAAACGGATGCATTATTTTATGTATCTTAGTGTAGTCTACTTGTGTGCCCAGTAATACTGAAATCAGATCAAAACTGTAGGAGGAGTAGCGTTTTAAAGGAATTTCACAGAAAATTCTATTTTTAGTAACCATGACAACACCGCTCATCGAAATAAAAAACCGAAGCACTATCTTATGTATCTTAGTGTAGTCTACTTGTGTGCCAAGTAATACTGAAATCAGACCAAAACTGTAGAAGAAGTAGCGTTTTAAAGTAATTTCACAGAAAATTCTATTTTTAGTAACCATGGCAACATCGTTCATCGAAATCAAAAACCGATGCATTATTTTATGTATCTTAGTGTAGTCTACTTGAGTGCCCAGTAATATTGAAATCAGATCAAAACTGTAGGAGGAGTAGCGTTTTAAAGGAATTTCACAGAAAATTCTATTTTTAGTAACCATGGCAACACCATTCATCGAAATCAAAAATCAATGCACTATTTTATGTATCTTAGTGTAGTCTACTTGTGTGCCAAGTTATATTAAAATCAGACCAAAACTGTAGGAGGAGTAGGGTTTTGAAAAATTGTTTACAGACAGACAGACAGATGGACGGACGACGGACACCTTACTATCGCATAAGCTCTTCTGGTCTCTGACCAGTAGAGCTAAAAATGGTGACGTCGATAGAGCCATTTCAGCGTTTTTCCTAATTATTCACATTCCTAATCACATTTTCAGACCAGTAGGGGTTAATACAGATAATGTTATTTTTGTATAAAAAAAAAATTTGGGAAAAGTGTACTGTCGCACAAATGACTGCATTAATAAAAAAGCTGAGCAAAGTCGTGCACACTCGAATTAGACCCGGTCTCTTAAATAAATGCTCTGATTCTCTAGTAAGAAGGCCCCAAGATCTGTGGTTCTAAAGTGAACGTTTAATGTGAAAACATGGAATAAAGAATTTTCAGATAAAAAGCCCAGTTGTTTGATGTCGGGCAGGAAGGATGTATTTGGAGATTGTTTGAACCTGTTTTAGTTGATTGATTTGCATGACTGTCAAGTTCAATTGTTTTATCATCTGCCCTTGGAGTTCTGAAGGATATTTTTGTGACAACTAATGTTACGGCAGTATTCATTCCTTGAAAAAAAATGTTATGCAATATAACTTACTGTGATAGCTATCTAAAATGTTTGGCTTTTTTTGGCCATGACCTATGCACATGTTAACAATTCCTATTCCCATAAAGTGCAAAGTGTTCTATTATTTTATATAGTTCATAATGGTTTTCATATATAAGGACTGATTTATTTCATGCAGAAACTTCCTGGACGAGACTGGATATCCAGAGTATTTTATATGTCGTCTCTTCAATAGCTGAATAGAAAAAATACATTAGATTTAATGATTTTTCTTGTAATCAATGTAAAGTTTGTGCCTAAGATGAAATACTCCTTAGGGACTCTATATAATTAATCATTTTATGATCTTGCAAACGATCCCTCGTTAGCATGGCTTAGCAGAAACAGAAAATTACAGATGTAGTCCGTTTAAGTCTCTTCTAATGTCTAATTTTATTCTTTGAAACCCATTTCCTTGACAGATGAGCGAGTCTCAATTATGTTATCGATCATCAAAGTATGATTCTCTATTATATAAGTAGAATATAATTATCAGACTAACAAAGTTACTAACAGAGAGCGGTCGAGATGAGTGTAAACTGTACCTGCATCAACAAGACCAGGGAGAGTGTTGGTGCAATCTTCATCAATGCATGGACGGGAGTATCGAGTCTAGTGGCTGTGATCTGGTTGTCCTGCTCTATGTTCAAACAAAAGCAATTTTCGCAACCGAAATTTCTTTCCTTAGCAGTGTGTCTTTGTGATTTGTTGTACGCTGGTGAGTACTTAAGATTAAATTTATGTGTGTGTGTGTTATGACACAGGTCGATTCATTTTGTATGACTGAGTAGAAAATGTATGCCACAACAATACCTACAATGTTGAAATAATATCTGATATATAAAGTGCTCATTTTAGTATACGATTTCGGTAGAAAAAACATTTAATTTAATTACACATCATTAATGAATTGTTTATTCGAATCATGATTGAAGTGAAATAAAAGAGTAAGTTGTGTTTACTGATTAAAAATATTTTTTTTGCTAAACCTTTCCGTTTATGTCCGACCTCGATCTCGTTGCCTATTTGCATCTGAAAGCATTCATTTTAATTCTATTATTTATACATTTATTCATTACCTTACGTAGCTCGGTCGTTAGAGCGCTCGCTCCGTGATCGGGAGGTCGTGAGTTTGAATCTCGGCAACTGAAGTGAATTTGTGGGTCATTCGTGTGACACCTTAAAAATCGTGCTCCCGTGTCACGACAGACGTTGACACAATCAAGGTTCCTAATAATAGCTCAAAGACCTTGATTGCCGAGCAAAGGTCATAATTTGAAGCCCTTCAAAGGTATATGGTGACGTTTGTACATGAGTGAAAAATTCTTGAATGGGATGTTCAACAACATACAATCAATCAATTATTACCTGTACATGTATGAGACACGCAAAATGCTGTTGTTTTATTCTTGCTGAAATCTGGTAAGAATGTGTTACGCAATTCTTCTGGACCTTGGCTCTGGAGATTTTTACTTTGGATTGTTCATTTTCCTTCCTGCTCAATGACCGTCAATGTCCGATGTCAAGCTTTGTGTTGGTGTGGGCAATTGCTGGCTAATAGTGTTTTCTCAAGTTTTATGTGTGGAAGGAGCATATTCTGGCTTGAAGAAACACCAATGATTAGAAAGAGGAAAAGAATGCCGTTTTCAATCGTATAGAAATTACCTTATTAGCTTCCACCTGTGAGAAGAACAGAATACAGTTTTATTATTTAGCTGAAAATTGTTAGTGCTTTCTTTACCTATTAATTTACTAAAACATTATACAAATTCAATGTTGTGTCCAGAGAACTATAGTGCAAATGTACACAGGACGTCAACTTCTTGTTGCAATAAAATGTTTCTTTTTTTATCATTTTTTTTCACCAAGTCAACATTAAATTATTTTAAACTTATTTGGAAGCTGAATCAGAACTTTTACCGTGAACGTTTTCCACCCTTAAATTTTGATTTTCTGTCTTTCTTATCATACCTTGTTCGTCGTCCGTCCGTCGGTAAACTTTTCATTTTTTATTTCTTCAAGAACTTCTCAAGAAGCCAATTTTAACCACACTTGTTTCAAAGCATCTTTAGGTAAAGGGGAGTTTAAATTGAAATAATCTTAACCCCCCCCTTCCCAATCAAATGGTCGTCTCTTATTAACAGTTTATACACTATTTTTTTTTAGTTTACATATTTTAAAAGTAATTTTAAGTCCGTCGGATGGGACGTAAAATGGTGCCCCGTGTCAAGGAAAACAACCCCCTTGGCACGAAAAAAATCGTTTCTCTGGAGTTCGAAAAAGAGTAGGCTCATTGGGGGCCGCCAGAGAAACCAAAATTTTTCAAGAACCGATTATTTAAACTGATAGTCCGCCGAAACATAGCTGAAAAATTGCCGACCCGGCGTTATAAAGTATAAATCAATCAATCTATATTATTGCCAAATACATTATATCCCCTGGAATGAAAATGAGTGTACTATTAAATCTATCTAAACAAGTGTGTTTTATAAAAAAAAAAAAGAAAGAAGTGAAAATACATGTAGGTACTCGAGCGGCGAACGAAAATCGAAACCGAGTATCTCGATCAAACATGAATCATTTCCGGTGACTGATGTTTCGTGTCATTTATTTTTGGCGTAATTATAACATAAAAACAAATTTCTCTATTTTTACAGACGCCTAAGGGTCATGAAGAGAGGCGCAGTAGTAGGCTTATAGCTTTACAAGTTACTTATTGATCAATTAATTTCAGCAAATAACAATTTTTTTATATATTGCAAATGTCTTGACTTGTGTATGGCCGCACATTTTATAGTTTTTTATCCAGCTTAAAAATTAACCTCAAATAAATAAAAAAAAAACATATGATGAAAGTTACGCAATTTTGTAAAAATTAACATGCACATTTGTAGCATTAATTAATTAATGTTTGTCCTCTCCAATAATCAAGACTCCAAGAAACAAATTAGAGGGTCAAGTAATCTAGACGGTCATCAAGTTTATTAAAATTCATCGTCAGCCCAATTAAAACAATCAAACAATCTAAAATGTCATCAGGTTTATTAAAATTCACAGTGAGGCCAATTTTAAAAATTCCGGTTTATTTTCGGAATCAACAAAGGTTGTATTCTTTTTTGATGGTTGGACCGATAAATTAAATCAACAATGACTGTTGGAAAAGAAACTGCACTCTACCCTATATCGAAAGTTTAATTTTGACGTCTTTAAACTAAATTCTGAGAAAAATCTTTCACGGAAAATACTTGAACATAGACTGAATATATCCTGTCTCGTCTCGTCAACAGTTGGAAGTCTCCACAGGTTTTGCCTCATTTTAAAATTTTTGACTGCGATTTGACCTAATACTTTAAAAGGTATTAACATTATACATTACTGTATAATATACAGAAATTAAGCAAAATGAAACAATAAAAATTGATGCAAAATTAAATTTAATAGGATAAAATTTACACTTATAGTCAGTTGAACTAGCATATAAAAAATCAGTCAACATTGCATCCGATATTGATTAATAAACACAAATTAGAGAAGATTTGCACTTTAAATCTCTTGTGGTTATATTTCATATCAAATCTTACTGTTAATCATCTCGTTTGTTATCTGTGAAAATTCATATAAGCAGTAGTTAAAGAAACTAAATGAGTGAATGTAAATTAGAAACTGAGCGAATCCGTCCGTTTAAGTAAAAAATGAATTTAGTTTATTAGGTCACCTGAGTCACTCAGGTGACCTATTGCTATCCGTTTTCATCCGTCGTCGTCCGTCGTGTATCGTGTGTCATGTGTTAACATTTGAACCTTTTCAGCTTCTCTGAAACCACTGAACCAATTTCAACCAAATTTGGTATACAGCATCTATGGGTGAAGGGGAACAAAAATTGAATTTTATGGTCCCCGTCCCCCTGGGGCCTGAGGGGTGGGGCCACAACCACTAAAATTAATGAAATCTTTAAAAATCTTCTTCTTTACTCCTGGACATCAAGCAAACTGTTTGCATGATTGTAATGAGCATTGAGTCCTCTACCAAAATTGTGAAATTCATGGCCCCAGGGTCTGGAATTCTAGTGCTAGGGTGGGGCTTTATAGATTATATAGTGAAAATGCATTGTAGCTTTAAAAATCTTCTTCTCTGCTCCTGGGTATTAAATAAAGTAACTAAGTACATAGTTATGATGAGAAAGAATGCTTCTTCCAAAATTGTGAATTTCTTGGCCCCAGGGTCAGGGGTTTTGGTGTTAGGGCGGGGCTCTTTGGTTATATATTGAAAATGCATTGAATCTCTGAAAGTCTTCTTCTCTGCTCTGGGGTATTAAATAAACTACCTAAGTACATATTTATGATGAGCAAGAGTGCCTCTTTCATATTTGTGAATTTCATGGCCCCAGGGTCAGGAGTTTTGGTGTTAGGGCGGGGCTCTATTGGTTATATAGTGAACATGCATTGAATCTCTGAAAATCGTCTTCTCTGCTCTGGGTCAATAAATAAACTAAGTACATAGTTATGATGAGCAAGAGTTCCTCTTTCAAATTTGTGAATTTCATGGCCCCAGGGTCAGGGGTTCTTGTGTTAGGGTGAAGCTCTATTGATTATATAGTGAAAATGCATTGATTAATCTCTGAAAATCTCCTTCTATGCTCTGGGGTATTAAATAAACTAACTAAGTACATAGTTATGATGAGCAAGAGTGCCTCTTTCAAATTTGTGAATTTCATGGCCCCAGGGTCAGGGATTCTGGTGTTATGGCGGGGCTCTACATATTGATTATATAGCGAAAATGCATTGATTAATCTCTGAAAATCTTCTCTGCTCTGGGGTATTAAATAAAGTAACTAAGTACATAGTTATGATGAGCAAGAGTGCCTCTTCCATATTTGTTAATTTCTTGGCCCCATGGTGAGGGGTTCTAGTGCTAAGGAGGGGCTATATAGATTATATAGTGAAAATGCATTATTTTTTTTCAAAAATTTTCTCCTCTGATCCTGGGTATTAAATAAACTAACTAAGTACATAGTTATAATGAGCAAGAGTGCCTCTTCCAATTATGTGAATTTCATGGCCCCTATGTCAGGGGTTTTGCTATCAGGTGTAAGGGGACTGGGGGGCTCTTTTGATTATATAGTGAAAATACATTAATTCTTTGAAAATCTTTAGAATTCTTGCTCCTGGGTATTATGTCAATAATCTAAGTATATATATATTTATGATGAGGAAAGGTGCATCCGGCAAAATGGTTAATTTCATGCCCCCTGGGTCAGGGATATCGTGGGGGGGGGGGTACATAGTCTGAAAATAAATTAATGCTTTGAAATCTGCTCACTAGTTTTAATCAACCATATTTGATGAAATAACATTTATGATAAAATTTTCAAAATTTTGAAATATGTTGCCCCAGGGTCAGTGGTTCCTTTGGCATGGGGTGGGGTGCACAACTGGTTTAGAATGAAATTGCATTTTTTCTTAGTTACTCTGATCTACCTATGGGTGTTAAGTGACTATCTAGTAAGCATTGCTAAGTGTATAATTATGATAAGCATTGGTGCCTCTTTCATAATTGTGAATTTCATGGCCTCTGGTTTAAAACACAAACCAAATTCAATTGTTGGAAAGTTGTTACACGATACTCAGGTGATTATAAGTCCCGTGGGCCTCTTGTTTTCAAAGGAGAAATTTATTATACTAGTCTGCCCAGTTATTTAATATAATGTCTCTATTTCTATGTCTATACACAATTTGATTATACAGATTATAAAACTTTTGTTTTGTATTTAATAAATTATCCCTTTGAAGAATTTACATATTTTGTTTTGGTTTCGGGGTTTTTTAGAAAATATAACTGAATGTAAAGTCCTTTGAATCTTCATTTTAATCCATATTTTAATTTCTGTCGAAAAGCAAGTACACAACCTACCTGCAGAACTGTAGCTGTCCGAAAAAAAAATTGTATTGACAGACCGGACAGCTGCAGTGACACCCATTGAAAAAAAAACTATATTTATTGCGCACAGAAAAAGTGCGCTGTTTCTCTGTTTCTCTCTTCATTTCTCTGTGTTTTTAAAACTTTCGCTTAAAATATTACTTATCGCGTGTTCCTAACATATTTTTTCACTGTTTCCACCACAAAACATAATTTTAATTGTTTTTAATAGCTCTCCTGGCCCTAATATTAAGATCATCGAAAATTTCGCCTATTTATATTGTCATTTTGGTTTGTAAGGTAATTCGGTCCAACGCGCTCGTACAGATGTAAACTACGAGAGTACTGGATAGAGGAGTAAGGAATTTGTTGAACTTAGCTTTTTTTTTTTTGCAATTGAGGTAAGAATTTGGAAGAATTAATCCAGAACCGTGCGCACTTTTTAGTGCGCAAGAAATATAGTGTTTTCAATAGGTGGTACAGTAGCTCTTCGATCTGTCAATAATCTTTTTTTTTTCGGAGAGCTACAGTTCTGCAGCTAGGACACAACCAAGCATGTTTTTCTATCATTTCTGTTACGCCCACGATTAATTCATTGCCCTCACTCACAGTTCTTGAAGCCTTCGCAAACCTTCGTCGACACAAACTAAAATGAATTTCAAAGCAACCGTTCCTTCGCACGCGCTCAATCTATCTGTAGTGGGAACAAATACTAGTAATCAGTAGTTTTACCTTTTAAAAACATAAGAATTCAATTACTAAAAGAGCAAAGCAAAAATTTATTTATCATCATCATTGGTACTTACAGATTGAATGTGTTTATGAAGCACAGATGCCACAGTTTGGCATCATAGCAAAGGTTAAATTTTCTGAAATACAAAATTAATCCAATATGTTGGTACCTAGAGTAAGGCCTTCTTACAACAAATACAATTGTGAAATATGGAAGACCTGGTGCCAACTGTTCAAAAGATATGGCCAAGGTTGAAGTTTTTAAAGGCAGGTCAAGTTGTTGGTTCCTTAAAGAAAGTTCTTGTCACAAGGATTACATATGTGAAGCATAAAGGTCCTAGCCCTTACCGTTGAAAAGTTATGGCCAATGTCAAGTTTTCTGAAAATAAAAGGATCAAACTTCATGGTCAAAAATGTTGGTATCCAATGAAAAGTCTTATCACAAGGATAACATACATATTTGACATATGAAAGCACTAGCTCTTACCTTTGAAAAGTTATGACCAAGGTTGAATTTTTTAAAAAAGTAGGACGGTCAAAGTTGTTTCCATTCAATGGACAGCAATCAGATACAGGAGAAATCGGAAAAGGGGTCAGAGGAAATGCTGTCAATTCAAACCCAACTAAATGAATAAAATAAACGACCGTAAGAAATCAATCAAAGTCGGTGACTTAAAAGACATCGGCATAAACGTGGAAGAGGAATTAATATCAAGCTATATTGGAAATTGTGAAAAGAAGATGCAATCAAATCTTGCAATAAAAACAAGAAAACCAGAAACTAACACTCGAGTATTGCACAGCTTAAAGAAGAAAACCCAAGAGCTTTAAAAGTGCTATATGAAAGAATGAATCTCTCGGTAATGTACATAATGGAGTAGAAGAAAACGAGAAGCTAACTAACATTGCTGCTGCAAAAGCGAACTATATTACCAAACAATACTGTTCCATGTCTTTACAGAGACAAAAGACGAATATTTAATATAAATTACGAAAGAAAGTACCGTAAATCTGGAAATTTTTGCTGTAGATAAATTTTTAGCAAATTTGCGAGTTCATTGCATTCGCAAAAATATTTTTCTTAAAAATAAATTATCAATAAGAAAATCTTAACAAATCAGTGGTCATTCGCAAAATTTTGAAACGTAATTAATCAACAGAATTTTGACCCGAATTCGCAAAATAAAATTGACGTAAAAATTTCCAGATTTACGGTAAGTGTTAATCGTGTCTCGATGTATAGTGACACGTTTGACTTGGTGCTTTTACTTTGGTACATATTGTTGTGATAAAACTATAAATATTCCAACCTGATTCACACTCACATCCGACAGAAAAGATCTGAAAAGGGGATGGATAGTCGCTGATGATCTTAAAAATTAATATCCAGACTCAGCGAGGACCCAAAAAATCACCGCGGTGTGGTATTTTAATGGTGCTGTATACAGACAATGTGGAAAACGTAGAATATATATCCCTAAATTTTCGATTACAGGGGTATAAAAAGCATTAGGAAGCAAATCATTCTTCATTAACACATACTTTATACAGGAGACCTTTATGTAGGAGTCCTTTAGAATTATCTTAGATGCATCCGCATCCTTCGAAATTAGTTGAAAACATAATATTAAGGTCAAATATTGATTCCATCCGAATACTCTTTAGCTATTTTTAAAATTCCTTTTCATATTTCAGCAATAAGTAACTCGCAAATGGTTGCAGCATCGTGGTTAGGGTATTGTGTGCTTGGAGGGGATCAAGGCTGCATCATACGTGGATTCTCGAGGAATTCCACCATGGTTGCTACTCATCTGATGGTAGTGTTCATGGCTGTGGAAAGATTTATCGCTCTACGGTTTCCGTTTCGTTATCAACACTTGTTGACACCACGGAAGGTGGTAACGGTAGCCATTAGTCTGTATATTTATTCAGTAAGTATTACATACGTTCTGTACAGACCAATTTAATCAGGATTAAACCATTGAAAAGAGACATCACTGAACGATATTTGTCTGATAACCAATTAACTCATGTGAGCAATGAGGTTTATGATATATGCTTCTTATTGTGTCTGGGATTATAGAAAGAAATATTACTTCTCCAATTATGTGATCAAAATGTTCATTTCTATGCCGAACAATAGATATTCTTTTTGATTCGTCATGTTCCCCAGCACTCATATCTTTGGACAGATTCTGTCTCTTTGACGTTTGCTCCTGTAACGTGCCTTTAAGATGTGAATGCTTAGAATATTTTGGTAGATAAGGCGTCTTGTCCATCCTAAACTTCCCTTTATAAATTTTATTAGAAATTTTACACAGGTAGGTACAATAAAATGGCTTACGAAACTGTGAAAGTCTTTAGAGATAGGACGTGGGGTTGATTTGAACTGTGAAATTACCTATTTAAGAATGTCCAGAAAAAATTGTGGATGCCCAATATAACTAACAACTGTCAGTTTTAATATGTCACATCTTTATTATAATGTGATAATTAAAATGGCAGATATGCATCTTCCTTTTCATTTAAAAAGGTCTTGTATGATGTACCGTGAAGTACATGTAAGCAATGTTAAAATACCGTTTTAAACATTATCGGATGTTAATTGTCTTACATATAGATCAAATAGATCATATAGACTCTAGAAATTGAATAGGTTTCATTGCATGAAAAACGTTTTAATATTTCTTTTTAGTTAATGAAAGTCTTTAACTTTCAAGTAGTTGTTCTTGACCATTTTTAGACTGACCTTTGCAAGTACCTGTAGCAATATATAGAAAAGTGTATACGCTGTACCGAATTCAAAAATATTAAGCGAAGTAGTCTTATATAAGTTGTTTTTATTTAGATTGTCCTTGCTACCTTGCCGTTAATGGGCGTAAACAAATATGGGTATGGATTATGGTGCGATTTTTACTGGACCGATACGTCCCCAGCGGGCAGGTTCTTTGTCATTTTCTTCCTCATCCAAGGTAATACATTAACCGTGATCCTATCAGTGAATCCGAGCCTAAGGAAGATAGTAAATACCATCAGATGATTATACTTACATGTATATCTTATTTAAAAAAAAGGCTGATTAAATGCAGCAATTTTAAGGGGCTAATATCAATGGAAATATGGCAAATACCCCTTCTCTAAATTTTATTAAAAGTCAAACTACAAACAAACGCAACATATTCAAATGTATAAGGTTTATGATCAGCTTCGGGATCCAAGGGTTTCCGTCTGATACCCTTAGTGTTTACATATGAAGCTTCTTTCTCTCCAAAATTAAATTGATTTGGAGTCATAAAATGAACATGTACACAAGCTTTGATTAAAGCTGACATGAACTCTGAAATACTGAACCTTTTCATCTTTGTACGACTTGTTTTATCCCCGTTCGCCTTTATCCGCCATATTTGTCTACTTATCCGCCATTTTAGTTCATTTTTTATTGTCTCTCAGAACTGCTATATATAGCGTGAGAGC